TTGGTCCACAAAGTTTTGTGCAAGATGGATGGCCAAAAAATCTTGCAGAGGACCACAAAAAGCAGCGAATGATGGCTGCAAGCGCGTGAACTTTTTGGACGCTTACCATAATGATGGTGACTCTTTACTTTACACGCGATTCAAGGCATCGTTACTCTGGTGGCAAACATGGGTGACACATGTGAACGTGAAACGAAATTGCAATCATATGCATTGGGGCACACAAGTCTCCCCAAAACCCAAGAAATGCAGGCAAACAATGTCGGCAAGGAGATGATTGGCGACTGTTTTTTGGGACATAAGGTGTAATTTGGTGGACTTCTGGAAAGGGCAACTCAATAACTCCTCAAGTATTGCCAAACTCTCCAAAAACTCAGAAGAACAATTCAAAACAAGCGCATAGGAATGTTATCTCTAAGATCTTGTTGATTCATCACGACACGCCCGGGCCCACACGGCAATGTCACTCGTAAAGTTCTTGAATCTTTTAAGTGGGAGATGTTGTGCCCCCTCATACCGCCCGACAGTCCCCGACCTGGCACCGAGCACTGCCCACCTATTCCAGGCAATGAAGAAGTGCTGGCTATGCAGCGTTTTGATGACGACGCACAGTGCAAGAAGAGGTAACGTGTGGTTGTAGGCTCCGGCGGGGCCGATTTTTCAACGAAGGATTTCCAACCGTACATCGCACGATAATGCCTTAATTTGTATGGTGACATGTGAAAAGTAGTTATTTGTATTGTGCTTTCATCTGTATATCATAAAATTTTGTTTCCTATACTTTGTTTATTTTTGTTATTCGCAAACGTATCTAACTTTCGGATAGCCCTCAGTATAACTGACTTCAATAATTGCAAGGATTGTGCAAGTTTATTTATAATCACAGTATTATACAATTTGGCAATGGAGTAAAGATTTAGAAATGAATGCAGAACATTCAAATTAGTATTTTCTTGTTTCTAATATATAGAAATATAGTCTATTTTCCAGTATAAAGTTTTACTTAAAAGTATGGGAAAGCAGATTTGTTTCATGCATGATCTTTATAATACTGGTATGAAATGAATGAATTTTAATCTGTAAACAATTTTTTGTTAATATTGAAATGCGTTTCTTTGGGTACATTTTTAGGCACTTGTGGATCATGTCAGACAACATGCAATAGAAAAAAGATGTCCGTGTGCATAAATTTTCCATTTTGTTATATTATAGTACTGGATGATTGTGTTTTCAGTGAATCTTCATGAATATGTGTCAGAATGTGTATCCTGTAATTTGTGTATCCTGTTTTTGAAGAATAATCGTTTTATTCATTTTATTCTGAATAAAAGATGGTATGTGTTTCTTCATTTTTCTAAATTTCAAGGAATGTCTTTCATTTTTATACGGCATGTTATTTTTCAGTATAAAGGCTAGTGAAAATAAATTGGTATGTGTATCTGTTTTTGAAGTTGTAATGCTTAAATAAAAAGATGGTGTGTGTTTCTTCATTTAAACAAAATTTCAAGGATAGTATTTTTCAGTGTTGTAACTGTTTGTTATTTCTCAATGTAAAGGGTAACAAGGGGAAAAAAAAACTGGTATGGTATATCTGTTTTTTAAGCATGATAATTTTATTTATTTCTTTAGTGATGCATATATATAGAGAGAAGGTGTTTGGTCCAACTGAAGTTATAATAAATCTAATTTTACTAGATCTCTCCCTCCCTCCCTCAGGTGTAGAAAATTTTCAAGTGCAGAAAGTTTATTTGCAGAATTAATTCATTTCTGATAAACTTATTATCATTAATTTTTTATATAACATGTTATTAAGTTACACATTTGACTACTGTGTAATAAAATTGTATTTAGGGCAAAAAATTAACTATAATTTTGCATCTGGTGACTAATATCATATGCTTCTAAGATATTACTTTAACTTTTTCCATAATTTTTGTATTTTTCAGGAACATGAAACTGTTATTTTGATATACTTAAATAATAAAAGTGTGTATCTGAATCAATAATGGATACAAATATTTTTACAGTTATTTTTAGAAGATATTTGCCATATCGCTTCTAATAATTCATAAGTATGTTAAAATATAGGTAAATAATTTGGTGCAGAATTCAAATTTAGGGTTTAAAATATAGTGAATCATAAGACTAAATGATTTTTATTGTCATGATTTGCCTGGGCTTAAGAATGTACTTTTCGTCGCCGGTGGAAATTGTCATCAACTGTCCTGAACAGGCTTTTTTTTTTGTTGATAATAACTTCCAGGCTTATCAGTAACCTCCTTTTGAGTGGAGGGTATGCAAATATAGTACCCAATTTAAATTACATTGTGATTGTAATAATATTGTGGTATTAATAAGTGATTATAATTACAATTTTAGGTAATTGCATTGTAATTATATTACATTGTATCTGTGAACTCTTAATTTCATTACTTTATGCAATTATATTGTAAGTGCATAATCTAATTGCAATAATATAATCTATTCACAATTACAAAATAATTATAAATGCAGTTACATCTTAAATAGAGGCCATTTAATACTTTTAAATTTTCGCAAGATAACTTCCCATTAAGGTTCATTTTGGAGGAAACTATGCAAATACTAAAAAAGTTATGCTAAATTTACATATTTTGTACAGTACTTTCTTGTTATAATGCTGTTCATATATTTTCAATACTTTGTAAATTTAACGACATTCTTTGCAATCACTGTGGTGCTTTAAAAAAGTTTCTTAGTTATGCTTTCTAATAAGAATGGGTTAAAATTAAGTATTATGTATAATAACTAGCAGTTAAAAACCTTGACTGCATGAAAATGCTGTTGCTGTGTAAAATAAAAATAAGTTTTTTTTATCTTTGAAATGAATTACATGTGGTTAAGTCGTCCTTTTACATTTAAGAATGTGATTACACACATTCTTAAATTGGACAGGTTTTATCTAAATTATAAAAAATATAACTATGAATTATTTTGTAACATAACTCAAATTACAAAATTCATTCTATATACGTTCAAAGTTATTATCTTTTATGGAATAACTGTTTTTAATTTAGTAAAATTGGCGTTTTAGAAGTATTACAAATACAATGCAACACAAAGGTGATCTGATTGAAGAGGAAGGACTTTTTATTACGGTTTCTAGTTCTATTTTATTACATTTGATGAAAACATCCAAAACAGAGATGCTGTACTTTCTTCTTCCTATATATGAAATATTTCACACATTTAAAAGAAGTGTTCTTCAGAATCGGGCACATTAATTTCCATAGAACCTCAGACTAAATGACACATATCTTAAGTTGTTTTTTGGTAGAATTACAGTTTTTAATGGAATATTTTTGTTAAATTCATTAAGATAATTATTGCACCCCCTCGAACTCTCTCACGCTTTAAACCTTTTCCCATTTGACTATTGAAGTTTTATTCATCATCTTATTTATAATTCTGCTAACGAAACTGAAACCTCTAAAAATAAGTTTTGTTAATATGTTTACAAATATACCGAATTTTTATTAGGTGAAAACGTCTAAATCTATTCGAGAATTAATAAATTCCGAAAAGTTTTTCGCTGAATGCCGCCGTCTATAAAATAAATCTTTAAAAATAGCAGAATTCAGCCAGCTGTGCGTAACGCGCAAAATGGCAGCGCGGCGTTCCGTCCCCCCAAAGAGAAAAAGTTGGTGATTTAGCCTGGTTTGAGGAGCCTTACTTATCATAGTCCGTTATTCTCAGCAACTCACACCTTCGAGCCCCCCCCCCTTTTCGTCCTTAGGAATTCTGCGGGGGAAAAATGGGGATCTCTTGACCATCGATAATTATAGATGTGATTTTTGTAATAAGATCACCGACTTTTTTTTTTGTTCAGGTCTCAAACTTATAATTATGAGCAAATAAAAATACAGTGTGACGAATTTGTTAACTTGTACTAAATAAATTGGGTTTAAATTAATAATTAATTTTATATTTAACTAATATGAAGAAAATAAACTGTATAATTTATTTTGCTGAATGCTCTCACACGTGTATGGATTTATGATTTGTCAATTAGTGTTTTTGAAAATATGCATGAATTTTTGGAACGTAATTTAATGTTACTTTAGTTAAATGTTATGTACTCTCTGTCTCTGTGATGATATATTTTTTTCTAGTTAGGTCTCAAAATAGGGCATACACATTACCATGTAGGAATTATTCTTTTATTATTATTTTTTTATTAAACTTAGCTAAAGTTTTCTTCTTAAAGACACTAATTTGCAGGGACTCCTTAACTACTGTCATGGACACATCGTATTTAGGATATTTTCTACTCTTTCCTTCTTTATAGGCCCCCTTTTTTTCCCTTTTTATTATTTTTGGGCCATTTATTTTAAATTTTATTTTGACGCATCTTTTCTTTCTGGCCTTTTGAACTCGTAAAAAATGTACGAAGTTCCTTTTTACTCTCCTCAAATTGCCCCCTTTCTATATACCTTTTCTTTGCACCTATGCTTGGTTTTTCGCCCATCTGTGCAGAAAGACTTAGCGGGTGCAAAAAAAGACATCTGTCTACTTTGTGTGTCCGTCTGACAACATAGCATATCGGGAACAGGAAAAAAAAAAACCTGGTCTGTATGAGGTATTGAATCAGTTGTTCAGGCGAGACTCCGTTTTAAACAAGCATGCAGTTTTCGATACAAAACAGAAGCATTGTGTGACGTATGTAAGAAAATGTTTACTGAACAGTGTAGCTTAACAACCGTATGGCAATTCACGCAGGAGAGAAACCTTATGTTTGTGAAGTATGTAAGAAATCATTTAATGTTAAGCAGCATTTAAACAGGCATATGCATGTACACACAGGAGAGAAACCTTATGAGTGTGAAGTATGTAAGACGTCATTTACAAAAAAGTGTAGTTTAAACAACCATAGGCTCATTTGCACAGGAGAGAAACCTTGCGTTTGCGTGTGTGAAGTATGTAAGAGACCATTTAGATATAAGGACAGTTTAAACAAACATATGCTTCATCACACAGAAGAGAAACCTTATGAGTGTGAAGTATGTAAGAAGTCATTTAGACAAAAGTCTAATTTAAAAAGCCATGTACTCATTCACACAGGAGAGAAACCTTATGAATGTGAAGTATGTAAGAAGTCATTTAGTCAAAAGCATAATTTAAACAATCATATAGTTATTCACACAGGAGAGAAACCTTATGTGTGTGAAATATGTAAGAAGTCGTTTCGTGACAAGAGTAATTGTAATAAGCATTTGCTTATTCACACAGGCAAGAAACCTCATGAATGTGAAGTATGTAACAAGTCATTCAGTCGAAAGTCTCATTTAAACAGCCATATGCTCTGTCACACAGGAGAAAAACCTTATGTGTGTGAAATATGTAAGAAGTCATTTTGTTACAAGAGTAATTTTAATAAGCATTTGCTTAGTCACACAGGCGAGAAACCTTATGAATGTGAAGTATGTAAGAAGTCATTTAGTCAAAAGAGTAGTTTAAACAACCATATGCTCATTCACACAGGAAAGAAACCTTATGTTTGTGAAGTATGTAAGAAGTCATTTAGTCGTACAGATAAATTAAAGAGGCATTTGAGTATTCACACAGGAGAGAAATTTTATGTGTGTGAAGTATGTAAGAAGGCATTCAGACTTAAGGATAGTTTAAACAAGCATATGATTATTCACACCAGAGAGAGATCTTATGCTTATGAAATATGTAACAAGTCATTTAGTTGAAAGTCTCATTTAAACAGCCATAGGCTCTGTCACACAGGAGAAAAACCTTTATGTGTGAAAAGTATGTAAGAAGTCGTTTAGTCATAATTATAACTTAAAGAGCCATATGATTATTCACACAGGAGAGAAACCTTATGTGTGTGAACTACGTAAGAAATCATTTAGTTGTAAGAATAATTTAAACAGGCATATAATTACTCACACAGGAGAGAAACTTTAGGTGTGTGTAGCATCTAAAAATTCATGTAGTGTTAAGCATCGTTTAAATGAGCTTATGCTTTTACAGGTAACTCTCTGACTACTCAATTTTTTTAACAAAATCACTTCAAAAATTGTACATTATTTATTTGATATCTGAAATCCACATACAAGTTTGCAAGCTTTATGCTAATATTAGAAATTTGGGGGCACTCAGTCTCATTGTAACAGAAATTGTAATTTAAAGTCTAAACACTGCACAAAATATATTACTAATAGCTAAACATTGAAGCAGTTTGGTATGCTTTTTTCATAAAGAAAAAATGAATACCCGTCTTTATTGCATGATGGGCTAATTTTGCTATGTTTCTTTTTTGTCCATAGAAATCACGGAATAAGTTGCTGTTTTGGAGTTAAGAGAAACTTCATACATATGAAGTATGTAAAAAGTTATTTAGTCAAAAAGATACTTTGCAGTATTTTATGCTTATATGTAAGACAGAAGTTACATCTGTGTCACCTATCTTAACAAGTGATTTAGAGGAAAGAATAATAAGAAAAGCATATTCATACTCATATTTTAGAGAACCCGTTTATGTGTGTAAAGATTTATTTATTCTAAATGGTAATTTAAACATCTATAACCGTAGAGGAGAGAAGTCTTAGACTCATATGGGTAAAAGAATTTATACAAACCAATTTTTCTGTATTGAAGATGTCTTGTGTGTTTTGAGGTATTAAATTAGTAGCAGTCTTTAATTACTAGGGCAGGAAGGAATTGTCCATGCAGCACCGAAGCCTCTTTATGTGAAGTCAAGTTTGGTTCATTCCTACAAGGCAGGCTTCTAGAGCAGACTTTAGGGTTGGTAACATTCATAGAGATTTCAATGGTGCTGAGTGGGATAATTTAGGATTTGCATATGTATACTGGTTGGCATAAAGTTGGCAACCAGTATACATATGCAAATCCTAAATTAATTAAATAAAATGGCATAAAGTTGACCCTGTGTGAGGGAGGGTAACTTGTAATTTGATCAGTGTAAATACTAAACCATCTGTTGGTAAAAATTTACAATTGGGTGCCCCTTGGTTTTTGGCGATTCTTTTTTGACGCCAAGATCGGCGCCAGGAAGACAATTTTAAGATGGCCGCTACACAAAACCAAAATAAGAAAACAAAGAATTGCACAAACTTTGTGTCCATATACACATCAATCTGTTTTCACTTAAAGAAACATCCTAAAATTGCACAAACTAGGCATTGCGCACTGCCTTAAATTTGTCCATCAATCTATTTTTATTTTTAAAAATCAGGAGGCTAAAACAAAGTTAAACTATCATGGTAAGCAGGAATGAGATTTTATCGCCAAAATTTTACAAGAAATTGTGGACGATCGAAGGGCACCCATTTCTACACTAGAGCCCATCTGTTTGTTTCCACAAGAAAAACAACTTTGTATATGCAAAATAAATCCAAAGTGATTTTAAGTAACTACTAATTTGAAGCAGCATTTACTTTTCACGTAAAACTAGAGTTTCTTGAGCATATAAGTTTTCTATTTGCTTTATGACAGCTGTACGCATATAGATTTCAGTACATTTTTGCTTATTCGTAGGTGTTCAGTCTTTATATTTGTCACCTAGTAAAATGCAGAATATCATCATATCCTTATTACTGCTTTAAAATGCTTCTAATAAGGAAATCCTGCCTGAAGCATGGGTAAATAACTCACCCATATATGTACTGTAACTTATGTATGCTTTGTGTTAAATTTGCTTTCTGAATTTAATGCAAGTACCTATCACAGCTTTCTGAATTTAATGCAGATACCTATCACAACTTTCTGAATGTAATGCAGATACCTACCACAGCTTTCTGTTTATTGATTTAAGTGTGATGGATTGGGCATGTGATGAAATAGTGTATTAGGTACTTTTATTTTTGTTGTAAATATCCTGAAGACCATGATTACCTAGCTACAGTAGCATATCCATGCTGCAGAGCGTAACGTTCACAAAAGGGTTGCCTGATGCTACATTGGAAATATAATACAGGGTTTCCTCATGTTGCATTGCAAAAGAAAAATGAGATCTAAAATGTTCTCATTGAAATTGGGGACACGTCCATGCATATAAAGTATGTAGGAAGACATTCGGAAGAATGAATCATTGAAAAATAAATTTAATGCAGGTAAGAAATCCATATGTAAAACTTTTCTATGTTTTTTGGGTACTTTTCCATTTTGCCGGTGCAAACAATAAAGTCGTTAATTATGATACAACTGATGCCAAATGGAATATCTTTGCTAGTAACCTTTTACTCATTTTCAAAACAAGTTGCAGCCATTTCTTACCAGATTAATTCTTTTCTTGAATATTGGCATAGAATTACGTAAAATATTTAAAGATAATTAAATTTTATGCCTTAAGACCATTCGCCGTAATTAAGTCAATTAAAATGCAATGACACCGCTCACCCAAAGGCGAAAATATAGAAAAGGCAAAATCATCGGTTAAATTCATCAATTCTAATGCAGTGGAGTAGCGAGCATAACTGGTGACCAGGGCAAAATACCTTTTTGATGCCCCCTTTTCTCCCAAAAAAACCACAGTGATATGAAAATCTTGTTGGGAGACCATTTGGCGCCCCTCTGAGAGCGGCGTCCGGGGCATCATACACCCCCTTGCCCCCCCTTGCTACGCCACTGTTCTAATGAGAATGCTCTAGTGAAGTAAAGCACTGCTGTTCTACATAATTTCTGAGTAAGTTATTTGTACGAATTGAAATAATTGTTGCATTAAACTTGTGTTCCAAATTAAGATTTAACTCGAAATTAATGTAGATAATTACTGAGAGAATTATATTTTTGTAGCATAGTTTACGTGAGATGAGATAACTTGGGGTCACGTGATACGAACCGGCGAATCAGGATGTTGAACCATGATAGTAAAGTAAATTTTTAAATTAATGTCTGTTTACAAATTTATTGGCTTTTGGGGGGATACTTAGATAACCTGCACTTGGCCAACTTTCTGAAATCGAGTTCGCCAACTTGGGCGATACGCGCCATAAAGTGGGAGGAGAGTTTAGGTTGCTAGTTTAGATCTTCACTACGCTAGGGAGAAAGGGAAAAGCGAAAAGACGTTTTCTTTCTATATGTAAATACTTTGCTTTGGCTGTCATGTGACTTTGCAAATGATTCGTCGTGCTGATCACGTAACTTTGTCAGCAGACGTGGTGCGTACGCTCATATGCTGTTTGTTGTTCCGTATGATCATTCGCTGTTTAATTATTTATTAGAACAAAATATTATTATTTATTAGACTATTAAAATCTATTAGACCATCTAAATACTATTAAAATAATAAATATTTTAATTACCGGAGACGGGCTTCAGGTTGCCATAAACCATATGCTATTTTCGCTATACTAAAAACATTTTAGAAAATAAAATTACTATTAAAATTATTAATGATTTAAAAATTAAATAACTAAGTATTACCAAATTAATTCATAATTATTTAAATAATATTAATACTGCGCTCCCAGTTGCCGTTTAATTACCTTATAAATTATTTTCTAAATAACTTAAAGAACTTATGAATTAATTACCCTTATAATTAGAACAACAAAGTAGATAACGTATGATCTTTTTCTAACGTATTGTTCGCATGGGCACATTTTTAAAATTATTTACTTAATATTTAAGTATATGGGTGTTATTTATCTAGCCTTAACAAACTGGAATTAATTTCTAAAATAAATTAATTGTATTCCTAACATGAATTATTTAGAATGAGAAAAGCACTCGCGGGTTATTTGCTTAAAATGGCGGAAATCTGTTAGTCGAACTCCAAGACGAACTACCAGTGTGCAACATTTTTACTGCTATCTCGCTGACAAACACTTTGTATCATACCAGCAATTTTTTAATCCCTCCTAATCAAGATCAAATTGAAATTTTTTAATAATTTGTCTGGCATTTGCTGTATATTTGTTCAAGACGCATGGATATCAGTTATATAACATGAAAAATACACAGAAAGCAGCTAATCTTATATAACAGCTGAGTGTGAAAGAAAAATTACAGTTATAGTGCTTTTAAATTTCCCTATTGTAAATAGCCATTCTCTAATTGACATTAGATTAAGTTAATTCCATTATCCATTAGAAAATAATTATAGTGAATTATATCTATTGACGACATTTCTAAGACGTCACCTTTTGAAAGAGACCTGCATTTTTTGTGAACATAAACGAAAATTGCCAGCGAATATCACATTTCTAAGGCCACCATATCTACAACCAATATCCTTTAAAACCGTGAACCGAATAATTGTTACATTCAAAACAGCTTTCAATGAGAAATATGTTTAAACTTTGATACTAAGCTCAGTCTAAAGTAAAGAATAAAATATCTCCTAGCCAAGTTTTCATTATGTTTAATTGTTTTAATATTCCTAAACTAAAAAGAAACTAAAGGAAAAACTAAAAACAAATAAAATAAAATTCGAGTGTTTTTAATGAAAAAGTTAATAGTTTTAATAATGAAACATAGCCATATTACCTTAAAAATAGCATGTGAGAAACTCCACAATGATATTTTTCATTTTTACATACACATACCAAAGTTACATAAGTAAATAAATAATAAAATGCAATTTCAGATTTATCATCGAAACGTTATAGCTAAT